ATATTCTACCTATTTCTTCCTATCATTTTCTAGTACTTTGTATATTATATATTTTCATCCGTTTAACTAAGCTTTCATCGTCATTATTTCACCATTTTTTTTATATGATTCTAATTCTTTAATACCACACAATACCAACAATACCTATATACTTATTTCATCATCTATCATCTTTATTTCACATTTATTAAATCATACTTAATTCCATACTCTTACTCATATTCTTAATTTCATATAATTTGGGTACACTTATCATACATAACACATTATACAAGTAAGTACTTTGCCTATACGCATTATTTCACTCACCTGTTTCACTCAGCGCCGGCGTTCTTTCATTTTCATTTTATTTATTCATATTGGTACATGTATTATTTATAGTCGACTTTACATATTCTATAATATAAAATGGACACTATCATGCCATTTGGGTTGTGGCCACAACCTAATTATTTTGGGGGTCTTGGTTTAAGCGTCTTTTGGACTCCAACTTATCTCACGGAGAAAAATTTTGTTTGCACCATGATCGAATGGAAGGATCCGACCCTCCATGTACCATTTTCATACACATTTCTTTTCATAGGGCCATGAATTAAGACACATTTCGTCTCCTACAGTATTCGATGAAAATCTCGTTCGTCAATTGATAAGACTGAAGGGCCCGATCCCTATAGTACCCATTTCTTATTGTGTACCGTATAATCGAGCATTTTAATTCATTAACTTTCATTCCAAATTCATTTAAATTCACAATCCATAATAATGAATATTTTGATTAATAAGAATTTCATAGCTCCTGGGTGATCAGTCCGGTTGCATGGAAAATTTTATAAACCAATTTATTCCCAAACATCCTTAAATAAACTTGTACATTCATTCCAATACCTTCATAATAAAATCACTTTATCATTTTCATTCCTTATCCATACTGTACCTAGTTGCCAACAAAAGTAACAAAAAGATTTTTCATACAGTTTACATAACTTAATGCTTTCCATAAAATTCTTACATCATCATCCCTGCTGTACCTAATTGTAATCTAATAATACTATAAGAGTAGCCACAAAAAGATTTTTAATACAGCTAACACAACTTAAACTTCCCAAATACACTTTTCATTATTTTTCTTGTAAATCTTTTCTTTACTTATTACGAAATACGATTCCTTATCGACTACTAATTGTTATCGTAAAATGAATATTGTTTCAGTCCAGATAAGCATAATCGGATATCTCAAGTGGTATTGTTTATAATTACAATCATTTTACTGCTTCGCTTAAATGAAAGCTTGCAAAACTGTAAATGGATCGTGCTTCGTGTTCATCGAAGTAATAGAAATATTATACCTTTGCTTTGTATTCCTTCTAACTAATTTAGAATTGTCTTATGACATACATAAACATAAAAGATCTATATTATTTGTATATAGTTAAGTCCTGGGTAGCTTAGTGGTTATAGCAGCCGCCCGGATTTTTCATTAAGAATAAATTCTTTTATATTTCCAAATAAATAACTACTATTTCCAAACATGATACTTTAAAAATATGTCACTGTAAAATCTGTTATAGAATATGATTTTGTTGAATAAGACTATAATAAAAGAAAAGACAAATAAGTGAATTACTTTTTGTAAATAATATACCGACAAGTTGAAAATTTCTAATTTGCTTTAATGTTTTTTTTTTTTTCTGTAAAAATATGTATTAACCACTGTTATCTTAAATAAGACCAAATAATTTTATATATAATTATTGTAGTTTTTCCATTGATGATTCTCAGTAGTTTTGTATCTCTATTGAGTTGAATAAATCTATGATTGGTTAACTTAGTACTATTAAAAAATTTCTTTTCAAATAAGAATTTGAATTTTTGAGAAATAGTCTGCGAATTTCTCCTTCTTACCTCTTGATCATACACATCACAATCTGGCTACCAATGACTTATGGATCAACCACATTATTGTGTCCTCTCAAGACAAAGTTCTCAAACATAGGCAATGTGTGCCTGTCTTTTCTAAACATGATCTCATTTATCTGGCATATAAAGTAAAAAATTGTGAGAGACCTAAAATTGTGCGTTTGAGGAATTCCCTGAAACTGGACGTAGAGAAGCTCAGACAGGATGCGGAAGCTATTGATTGGTCTCTGGTAAAGACGTCAAACTTAAACGACCACCTGCCCCGTGAATAACACCTCTTGTCCGTATCTCAATGAGATGTGGGACAAAGCTTTTCTGGTGTACAGACGGTGTCGTACTGAAGCCAACTGGGATGCTTACAGATGTAATCAGATGATAAGGGGAGCTAAGCGCCATTACATTTATTGCAATGGTATCAACTCAACTCCAGCCGAAATGTGGAAGTTTCTTAATTCTATCGGCATCGGCAAAGCCCGAAGCCAACACTCATGTTTCTTCGGTCTTGATGATCTTAATCGCCATCTTGTATTGAAACTCTATCCAATAATGTAAAATTTCTCACAATTTCTAAAGTTACGTCCACAGCTATGCCATCTGACACTTTCTTTACCTTTGCTCAAGTAACAGAGGATGATATCGGCAAGATAGTTCTTTCTATTAAATCTCAGGTAACCGGCTATGATAACATAAGTCGGAAGATGATTATATTACTACTGGATGCCGTAATTCCTATATTTACATTCATCCTGTACTATTCCATATCTTCCGGCTCATTTCCTGTTTTATGTCATAAGCTCTATGCTATCCCTCTTCCAAAAGTTTCCAATGCCAGCTCCTTGAATCATTTTAGACCCATTTCCATTCTACCTTTTCTGTCAAAGGTACTTGAAGCGGTAGTTCATGAACAACTTTCCTCTTCTATTTTTCCACAATCAGCTTCTATCTCCATTTCAATCTGGATTTTATAACCTTTGATAACGTTATGAATTATTCTCCACACAGCTCTCCATTTATATACTCGAGAGACTGCAGCAAAAATACTAATTCCTTTAACCCAACCAAATTAATTGCAGTGAGCATTCCGGGAGCATGGGAATCCTTTAATAGAATCGAAGATATTACTGGACTTAATTCCAGGAATGTTTCACACATACTGTAGATTGTAACTGGTTGTTGCTGGTAATAATACGCTACAAAATGGTCGAAATATGCAGTTTATTCACTTTTTGAAGAAAAAGATAACTAATTTTACAGCACGTTAAAATATATGTCTTACACTTAGCGCGGATAATAGCAGACTGACTCAATACAAAATAACAGTATGGCAGTTATGACATTTAAACTCCATTTTTAAATATAACATTAAAATACAAAAATACCTTGAGCGCATCGCTAACACATACAGTAACACAAATTTCAGCGTGTACTGATATCTAGGATTAACTTTTTAGGTTCTTTGTTTAGTAATTATTGCGATTTTTTCAAATTATCTGTTGCCAAAACACTTCGTTTGGAATACTTAAAATATCTCTTATTTTTTCCAGAAATGAAGCCGTTTCACCATCTGACTAGACTATCTCAGATACAATGTTTATTGTGTCTGCAAAGCATGGTAGGTGTTTTTCACAAACTTCTTGACACCTGCCACCATATTTGCTTTATTATCAGTAAGAATTGCTTCTATATTATTCTTGTCAATACTCCATCCTTTGAAAACTTGTGACAATATGTTAGCAATATATTCTGATGTATGACGTTCTTGCATCTCTACCGTTGCAATGTATGAGGACTTCAAAACTAACCCTTCCAAGAAGTGTAAAGTTACTCCCATAAAACTTGTGTTCATTGATTCTGTCCATATGTCTCAAGCGTCATAGAAATTATTTTGTAATCGGTACTTCAAACCGTTTTTCATTGCGCTATATTTTTTTGATACAAGATATTTTATGTGACTGTCTTGTGGTACTTTATAGTTTGGTGCTAAAGACTTCATCAATTTTAAAAAGCCCCCGTTTTTGACAGTGTGGACGGGTTTGAGATCAGCACAAATAGAGTATAGGATAGCATTGGTATTTCAACACGCCGAGGCCCACCTTCTTTGTATGATGAATCTCGTAATCTAAACATACATGAAATAGGATTCGACATTATATTTTTTTTTTAATTTACGAGTATATTGTAGAGTTCTTTTTGAGTTTCGATATTAGACTGCATATTTTTATCGCCATCGTTTGCAGAGCTTGGACCAGTTTCTTCTTGCATATCTTTTCTTTCATTTTTTGTAGAGCTTGATCCACTTTAACCTTTATCTATAACAAAGGTAAGAATAAAAATAATTAGCTTAGATTGTTTTTGTGAAATTTCAGATGTTGTGGTGTTACATTCTGTATCACCAGGCTCAGGTTCAGTGGCGCCTAAACCAGATGTATTTACTACAACTTCTTCGAATGACTTCAGCACATTCCTGAATATTATTTTTACAATTTTAAATATTTTTATGGTATTCTTTACCTTATAAAGACAAAAAAAAGTAATAAAATACTAATAGATATTCTTCTGAACCCTTCCTATATTATTTATGTGCAACACATAATAAGGTGACCAGATGGGGCAACAGTATTCTAATTAAGCTGGTATATAATTTAACCGTGCTTCTTAGATTTCTAAAATCCCGAGTAGACCGTATTATGAAGCCCAAAAGTTTGTTACTTTTTTTACAATGTGTTCATAATGTGGCCTAAAAGATAATTCTTCATCAAACAAAATACCTAGATCTTTCACTGTGTGCATTCTGTTCAATAGCGTGTTCTGTATATGATATGACCAATTAATCCTGACTCTTTTACGACTAAACTATATAAAACATTTGTCAAGATTCAGACTCATATCATTTGATAAACACCAATCAGAAATTATGTAAAGATCGTTTTGAAGCATCTTACATCGAGTGTCATCATTAACGTCAGTATTTTTTTAAGTAGAATAGAATAGAAAAGTATTTATTTAGCACCAAATTACATGTACATAACGTTAATAGTATAATAATGGAAAATTCAAGATAAGTTACTATAAAACTCAGCAATATGCCGCATTATTTAAGCTACGGCGCCGATTTTCAGGGATCATCATCATTATCAGCCCTTTTACGTCCCCACTGCAGGGGCTCAGGCCTCCCTTATGGATGTTTAAGGAGGATGGGTCGTGATCCTCCACGCTGGCCCAATGCGGATTGGAGGGTATTAACGACTGCAAATGCAGCCGGGACCAACATAACGTTATCAAAGGTTATTCCTTTAATAAATTGCCTGATAAGGCAGATAGATGATATGGTAGAACACACATCCTTCCTATTTATCAGAGCAATGGGATTGCGTCAGGTGCAATTGCAAAAGCGCTTTTGCGAAATTGAATTCATTCCAATTGTAGCCATCAGCATCTCGCTCGACCCACGATTTAAAAATTTACACTTTAGAAACGCTGAAGCATGCGCTATTACCTGGACACAGTGGAGATGAGTTGTGCCATTACATTAAAACACCTTTGTCGCCGTTAAAGTCCAATCCATAAAGACATGGAAAAACAAGAAGGAAGTTTTTCCAGGTCTTTACAAGGAGTTTAGACGTCACGCTGTGGTTGTAGCTACTTGTGTTGCAGCAGAAAGGCTGTTGTTCTTTTATAAAGTTCATACGTGATTGCATCATCCCTATTGATGTGTTCGCGCTGGTTCGAGAAGGGGATGAGAAATGGGAATGGAAACTCACCAATATAATTTTAATAACTGTCCTTCGATATATATGGTTGGCGAGTCCACGCCGGTCAGCAGTTTTCACTTGCACTTGAGTTTTTTGTGGCCACAAACACAACACCTTTATTTGTTACACATGTATAATAGATACTTCACAGGTTTATATATGAGTTCCGAGGCAGTAATGTCGCCTATATTAATTTTCAATTCGGAGCACTCGCGAAAAAACTTCTATGGCGAATGCATCCAAAACCGGAACCGACCTTATTTATCAGCGCGCCCTTGCGGCGAACGTATTTTGGCGAGTGACAAGGACGGAGATATGGGAGGGGCAAGGAAAGAAAAGGACAGGATGTCCTTCAACGGAAGAACCGCACAAAATACTAATTATTCAAATTTATTATTTTATAATATTGATCAATTTCACATGTCTCTTTATTTATGAATATAAAAACTACGACCATAGTAATTGGCGTAAACAGATAACTAATTTTTGATTGTCTGTCCGTTTGGTAGATTATTATATTAAACACGTTGAAATATCATATGACGTCTCACCTTTGTACGTTTCCTATATAGATGTGACGTAGCGAGTTCTACTCCTCAACTTTAATGCCTATTATCTAAGCCATTTTTGTTAAATTGAAGAAAAAATAAAATATCTAATATTTTTCGATTAAGTGATTTATTTAGAATCTTTTTTTTACCGATGCCTCGGTAGAAACACAATTTTTAAGGGTTATCATTATTTCAATTAAATTATGTCGATAAATACTCAAAATTGAGTAGTATCGATACTTTGAGAGCGATACTTTTATGGTATCAATACCATGACCCTCGATACCACATGAGTACTTGGTATTGATAACAGAAGGCGATACTTCGAACCCTACTAACAGGTGACCTGTTGGTTCGGCGCCGGCCCGTTAGCAAAGAGAGAGAAAGAGAGTGGTATACAAAACACGACACTGACGAGATGTAAAAAAAGTAAATAAGAGGAGTAGTAGGTGTAAGATCAGTGAAGAATGTAGACAAGAAATTCATATATATTTTTGGAAACAATTAAACTGGGATCAGCGCAAAATTTATGTTGTGTTTAGTACAACGAATTGATATGGCAAGAAAAATGAAAAAAAAAAAGTTATTTCTAAGCGTACTGAGTCGGCTAATTATTATTCCTATAAAAGGTGACGGATCTGAAAAAGTACAAGTATGTGAGTGTTTCTTCGGATATTGAACTTCCACTTTGATAATCCGTCATTATTGTTCTTCGATAAATGAATCTTGACTTTTTTACTTTTATTTAATATCTATATAAAATCCAATATCGAAGCAGACTGACGTCACCGATTAATTATACCTGGTGGAACAGAACGACCGACACTCCTTTTATTATAACGTAACGGCCTTGTGGCAACCCAATCCGTCAATCTAAACTAGGAAGTATTTGATACCCAAAGCTAGAAACTACTTCGGACAGCGTACAAGGCAATGGAATATACCTAGGATACATAGGGTAAAAGCCGGATAGTTGTCTCAGTGGGATAGTTGCCCCGGTTCTAAGTACACTATGTTAGGGACGTTGGCGGCGTCAGCGCTTTACTGCATTTGTAAGTACACCTCCCGCAGGCCTCAGTGCCATGTGAACCGTTGGTATAGGCGCACACATTTCGTTCGTGCGAGCGAAAATCTTCCGCGACGGAACATTGGAGGGCGTCGATATTATTTGGGTAAGTCATTTCGAGGGGTAGACCGCCACTGTGCGACTATAAACATCAACTCCACGAAAAATAAAAGTTTAAAAATAAATAAATAGTATTTTGGAAAGTGTAAAGTACTTATAATGTGAAGAATAGTGCATAGAACATTTGTTAAGGAAGACAGTGACAATAGTGAACAAATACAAAAATAATTAACGAAAAACATTTTACCTCACCTTTTACCCTTTTATAACAATTTTAAGAACTGATACCAATTAAAACCTAAATAACTAAGTGATACAATGTCAATCAACAATAAAAAGTGAAAGTTCACCCAGCAATACCAAGATCCTTAGTGTCGAAGTGCAAAATAATAACATAATAGTGGAACGACATTGCGAATTAGTTAGGCATATTGCCTTAACTTAAGAACAGCGCCATCTGTTGGTCTCCCCCAATACTAAAACAACCCAACGCATCCATAATCACAAGACATTAAGTTATTGATAACGGGAAGCTAATACAACAAAAACACTACTAGAGGGCACCTCTAGTACCAAAACAAATAGCTTAAGAGAGGAAAAATGGAAGAACTTATGAATATGTTAAAAAAATACAAAGCGAACTAGACGAACAGAAAAATACTATTATTAAAAATGGAGAAATGGTGACAGAGCAAGTCACCCGAAACATAAACAGCAATTTGGACCAGAAATTCGCAATTTTGGAAAGCAAATATGAGAATCTTAAAGACAAGTTAGATAATCAAGAGAAAAGGTTGTATTTCATCGAAAAGCAAGTAAGACAGAGAAATATAGTCTTCTTTGGAATACAAGAAAACGAAACAAACTATTTTAATTTGGAGAATAATATGATTTACTTTATAAAAAAGTATTTTTCTTTGGACTTAGATAAAAGAGATATACAAGAGGCTAGAAGAATTGGAAAAAAGGGAGACAAAGCAAGACCAATAACCGTCACCTTCACTACGCTTGGCACAAAAATAAACATCCTGAAACAGAAAAATACATTAAAAGACTCCGGCTACTATATTCAGGAAGACTACCCACAGAATATTCTAGAAAAAAGAAGAGAACTTAAAGAACAAGTGAAAATTGAAAGAGAGAAGGGAAACCTAGCGATAGTAAAATACGACAAACTGGTCTTTCTACAGAAAAACAAGGAATCTACGACTAAGAATAAAAGGATGCTTTCAACATCACCAGAAAACAACCCCATTACCAACAAGGGGAAAGAATCACAGGCTAGTAAGAAGAATAAAACCCAAACCTCGGCAGGAAGATCTTCTAGTTTCTCGGACGGAGCTTTGAAACCAGGAATTTTGAATTTCTTAACCACGAATGACTCAAACACAACAGCACAAGATAACATGAACAAAAAAAAATAGCAATTAGCGCCCCCTTCTACAACTGATAATACAGCACAATTAGATAAACAAAACGAAAACCATCTTCCAATCCGGTCGGTCACCGTGGAAGATTATGACCAAAACCCTCCATTGGACTTGAATAAAGCCAATATAGCGAAGATAAACAAAAACAAGCAACAAAAACTTTACATACTAACATACAACGTCAAAACACTTTCAACATATGAACGACTCTTAGATCTTAACGAAGCCCTAACAAATATTAAATATGACATAATAGGTGTTAGAGATTAGATACTCTTTGTACTAATCTATGATATCTTGTCATTGAATAAATGGTCTATCAAACAGTCGATCCGTGTATTTATTTAATTCTAATTTTCTAATAGTATGATATGATATTTCTAATAATATGATATCTTGTCATTGAATAAATGGTCTATCAAACAGTCGATCCGTGTATTTAATTCTAATTTTCTAATAATAGGTTTGGCCGAAACAAGGAGATTTGGAAATAAGATTGAAGAATACAAACAGTTCATGTTATGTCATACCGGTGAAACCCCAGGAATGTATGGAATAGGTTTCCTAATAAATAAACGCCTTAAAAACAATATCGAAAGCTACATAGGGCTGTCAGAGCGAGTAGGGATATTAAATATAACACTGAAAAATATTAATATGTCCATAATACAAGTTTATGCACCTACTGAGAGATCTACTGAAGATGAAATTGAACAATTTTACACAATTGTTAGGTTGAGGATTTAAAGAGTCTTTTTAAAAAATAATATTTATTTAGCCCTAAAACTATACTGGGTTATTAGTCCGTGGATGCGACTGACCGAACCGGCGGGATGTGGCAGACTGACTCGCGAGAGGCAGTCCTCGATGCACAAAGCCCTGAAAATGCTGTGTCAGCTGGAAATCGTTGGCACAGCAGTTACAGGAACATTTTCTAGATGTAACACCTCCCCCATTGAGAATAAACTTCGAGATTGTTTTCGAAGTTTATTATTATAAAATTTATCTTATTTTATTTAATGATTCTGATCGAGGGTTGAGGAGGTAACTCACGGAGTTCTAAATCGGAATCTATATTAGGCTCAGAAGGTTTGGATCTTTCCTTATTCTTTAAACTAACACGAGGAATATCGCATCCGCGTCTAATAAACATAATTATAAATTTATATAAACCAAAACTTATTACTAATATTACAATTAAAATAGTTAAAGTGGAATACTGAGTACTATATTTTACAATGTGTGGACTTTGTTCAATTTTGTCTAAATCTATTACAATATCTCTTAATTTATTACTGTCTAAGTTAACATTTTTCAAATCTATATTTTGTAACTCATTGAGGTGCCAATCCTCAATTTTAGAATGCAGCTTATCTAAATTACAACAAGTATCGTTGATCAGACTAAATTCAGTAAAAGACAAAGGTGATGTAATATTCAAAACATCGTTTTGTTGGGAAAACAATACGGTACTTTTTGTATAACCAATACAATTTTTCGGTAATGAAAAGATTCCAACTCCTTGGATATTGATTTCAAATAATTTTCTATCTAGACAATCTAAGGTGAGTTTAACCGAGTCTGATTGGATAAATATCCATCTATTGTTGGATATTGACTGCCATATGTCTAATTTTCCAATGATAAAATTAGTTT